AGGCTAATCTCTCTTGAGCAAAACACAGCAAGGCAAGTCAATCAACACATAAATAGAATAATAAATGACTATTAAATCCTGTTTTCCCTATAAAGCAATGTTGATTTGCATTTGAAAATCAGTCAAGGCAATTTATTATGCTAACACACACAAAAAAATCACAAGCATAGCAACACTTTTTAAAGCCTTGATTAAATTCAATATTCATGAGAAAATTATTAACATCCAGCAATAGAAAAGTACTTCCTTAATCTTATAAGAATGTCTACCAAAGACCTATAGCATCCATCATGTTTAAGATGAAATGTCATGTAAGATGAGGAACGATGAAGGGTGTCTGCTAACTCCACCTCCTTTCAACACTGTTTTGGAGATCTGTGCAACGTGACAAGAAAAAGAAAGAAAACATAAAAATGGAAAAGGGAGGGTTTGTCATTATTTACAGGCAACATGTCTAGTAAAGAGAAAAGCAAAAAGGATCTAAAGAAATTCTTAAAATTAATAAGTGAGTTTATTTTTTTAAGATTTATTTATTGATGCATAAAAAGCTGGGGTACAGGCCAGAGGTGTGGGGGTGAGGGGTGAAAGGATTCACCAGAGACAGAGCGGGGAGCAGAACAGGCGGATCCACTGAAATCCACTGCTGAGGGGAGCAGTGGATGAAGCAGGAGAGGGCTGCCGCGTCATGTGGGTAGCTCCCTGGTCGGGGATTGAACTTGTGCTGCAGTGGCTGCAGATAGCTTTACAGAGCTGTGACTTAACCCCTTGTGCCACCAGGGAGGCCCCAGTAAGTGAGTTTATTAAGATTACTAGATATAAGATAAAAACACAAAACTTTCATTTCTAGATACCATTAACAAACTAAAATCTTAGTTTTAGTTTATATTTTGAAAATGATACCACTTACAATAGCGTAAAAAAATCAATTACCCAAGAATAGATAAAACATATGTAAGTCCTATAAGCCATAAAACATTCCTGAGAGAAATTTTTAAAAACCTAAATCAATGAATATATATAGAGTATATACCTAAATCAATGAATGTATATAGAGTTCATAGAGTAAGAACATTTCAAACGTTTCAATTCTCCCCAGATCAATCTATTGTTTTTAAACCTCAATTTTTTATTTTTATTTTTATTATTATTATTTTTGTGTGTGTGTGTGTGTGGGACCCTCGCCAGAAGCCGGGGATCGAACCGGCGCTGCAGAGGCTGCGGGCAGCCTCGCAACACTGTGCTCAACCGCTGCGCCATCAGGGGAGGCCCTAAAATCTCAAATTTTTTAAATGTGCATCACAAATATTAAAACACTGACAAAGGCCAAGCACAGTCAGAAAAATTTTAAAGATGCACACAGCTGGAGAATTCACTCCACCAAACATAGAGACTCCCGATAAGGCCGCATCATCGGCTGCATCATCGGCTGCATCCTCAAGACAAAGGGTCCAATAGCACAGAACGGGGTGCAGAGACTGGCCCTGACCCCACACAGAGGGACCTGACCCATGATAAAGAGGGAGTGTCGGGCAGCGAGGGCCATTCTTTCCCACCAAAAACATCCAGTCACCATTTAGATACGTAGATGTTCACATAGAAACAAATAAAACTTGACACCAAAGTCATACTAAAAATAAAGGCCAATTCTTGACGAATTCTAGGCCTAAAAATGCATCATTTCCAAAAGATAACATGGAGAATTTTAACCCTGAAATAAGGACATCTCCTTTGGACACCCCCCACCCCCCAAAAAAAAGCCATCAAAACAATCGGGTTGCATCCAAATCAAAACTTGCTAAAGATTTGTATCCAAATAGGTAACAAATCAACAAGAGCGAAACACACCGCGGTCAGGGCTGTAAACGTGCACCGCCTTTTGGAAAACTGCTTGAAATGAATTGTTCGGGGTGCGCATGTATTTATCCTGTGGCGCCACTTCTGGGCATGAACACCCAACAGAAGCGCGCGCCGAGGCCACCATCAACACAGACGACCGTCCAAGCAGCCTGATTCCAAATACCCTAAAACGGAAAGAGCCCAGATGTCGCCAGGAGACAGGCACCGTCTCCGGAGAGGGTGTGCGGCGGGGCGTAGCACACAGCCCTGGAAACGCACAGGAGCCCGCGCGACCACACGGCCGCTCCAAAGTCAACACAACACAACAGACACGAGAGAGCACGTCCCTCGGACGCCACCCGTCAGGTCAAAGACAAAAAGGGGCTGCACTGCACCCCGGAGCCGGGGGTGTGCTGCGGGGGGAAGGGCAGCTGGGCGACGCCGAGGGACGGCTCCCCAGGCCCCAGCGGGCCTCACCGCACAGCCGGCCACCCTGCGTCCAGCAGCGCTTTGCTTCCACAGGGCGTGTCTGCAAATCGGGATTCCTTCTGCCGTGGAGACAGTCGCTGCAGGCTGCAGTCCCCGCGCCGGCCGGGGGTTATCCGGGCCGCCCCGGAGCCCCCCGTGTGGACGCAGGCCCGGGCTCACCGACGGCTCCGGGCAGACCCGCTCCCAGGAAGACCCTGCCCCGCTGGCGGCCGCGGGGGCACCACCTCTGCGGCTGCCCAGGCTCCCGCATCTGCAAAGCAGCCTGAGCAGAGGCCCCTTCTCGGGGAGCCCCTGCAGGGACACGCCTGCCGGTTCTGAAGCTGGTGGCTCGGGGTGGCGGCCGCCTTAGCACAAGGAGCGGGGGCGCCCACCCGGGATGTGCGCGTGTGTGTGCGCGTGTGTGCGCGCGCGCGCGCCGTCGGCACCTGTAACGCCACTTCTGGGTGTAGACACCCAACAGACGTGCACACGCGTGTCTGTGCTGATGGTGGAGCTCTGTGCGCACCTCCCCGGGACGTGCGTGCGCGCCGGCGGCACCGGGGAATACGTGTGGCACCGTGTGTGAGCAGCGTCCTTGTGCGCCCACACGCGCACGTGCAAGCCGGTGTGCCGGTCACAGAGGCTTCCCGGGAGCGTGAAAAGCAAACGGACCCGAGAAGGCCCGTACCCGAGCATCAACCCCCCGAGGGGAGAGACGGACCTTGTCCTCCGCGTTCGTGAAAACACGCGCCGCACGCGCGCCGCACCCCCCAGCAGCGCGGCTCTTCGGAACCGGGAGCCGCCCGCGCTCTCCGGACAGGCTGTTAACGGGGAAGCGGGTGCACTTTGGGGGAGACGGGAAGGGGGGCTGAGCCAGGCTGTGGGGCGCAGGAGCCGCGAGGCTCCCGTGGGGACGCCGGTGCCTCGGGTCCGACGGCCGGGGCGCCGCAGCGCAGCCGGGGGACACCCTCGACCTCCCCGGCCGGACGCTCCCTGGGGCGACGGCGTCGCGGCCGCGCGGCCGGAAAGGGCAGGAGCCGAAGGCGGGGCTCGGGCGCCCCCTGGCGGCGCGCGGGGAAGGCGGGTGGGCGCAAGGCCGACAACCCCCACCCCCGCCGCCCCCCGCCCCCGCCCCCCGCCGCCGGGCAAAGGCCTCTCCCGTCCATCTGAGGCCGCAGCGGCGTCTCCCCGCGCGCATCGCCCGCCCCGTCGGGGGCGCCCCCAGGGTCATCCAGCTGCCGGGGGGGGGCAGCAGCCGCCCTTCGGGAGTCCTGGCGCCCCCATTCCACGCTGGGCTCACGTGACCCCCGGAATTGGGGTCCAGGGCCTCTGGGGACGGGTCCCGTCGTTGCGGCCCCTCCGGGCGCCCACCTCCCCGGGCCGCTCTCCCCAGCCCCAAGGCGCCGCAGCGCCAGGCTCGCGGGGACCCCGGACCCCCCATCCCACGCCGGAGCGGGCGAGACCCCCGGAGGAAACGCCTGCCGGGCGGGGTCGGGCGGCTGCACCCAGGGGGCCGCGGCAGCTGCCCGCCAAGCCCCGAGCGCCGCGCCCCGGCCCCCAGGCCGTTCTGCCCCCGCCTGGCCCCAGACCCTCGCCAGCGCCCCAGCCCCGCGCCGGCTCGGCCCCCCACCCCCCCCGCCCCGCCCCGCCGAGCCCCGAACCCGCACGCGACGGCGGCTCCGAGGCTGCTGCCAACCGACACCCGCGCCCGGCCCCGCCAGAGCTGCGCCCCGACCCTCTCCTGGCGCGAGACCCCCCTCACCGGCCGGGCTGCGGGCCCCGTCTGGGGGCACCGGCCTTCCCCGGGGTCACCCCCACCCCCCGCGCCGGGCCGCCCGGGTCCGGCCGAGGCCGACGTGGCTCCGGCGCCCGCCCGGGCCGCAGCTCCCCTGCCCCGGCCCGCCGCGTCGCGAAGGGGCCCGCCCGGCGCGCCCCCGCCCCCGGGAGCCCGCCGTCCAGGCCACGACCCCCGCCCCAGCCCCGCGTCCCCCGCGCCCTCCTCGGGACGCCGCCCCCCGCGCGGCCTCTGCCCGGCCGGGGTCACTGCGGGGCTGCGCCCCGGGGCCCGGAGCGGGGCTCGTCCTTTCAGGACCACAGGGGACCGGGGCGCCCCGCGGCGGGGTCACCGCGGCTCTCTCCGGGGGCCGCGCCCCTGCGCCCCGGGGAGGCCGCGCCCCCGACCCCCCCGCCCCCCGCGCCCCGGGCAGGCCGCGCCCCCCCCGTCCCCCCAGCGCCCCAGGGAGGCCGCGCCCCCCATTCTCCCGCGCCCCGGGCAGGCCGCGCCCCCATTCCCCGCGCCCCGGGAAGGGCGCGCCCCCCATTCCCCCCAGGCCCCGGGGAGGCCGCCCCCCCATTCCCCCAGGCCCCGGGGAGGGCCGCGCCCCCCAGTCCCCCGCGCCCCGGGAGGCCGCGCCCCCCCGCGCCCCGGGAGGCGGCGCCCCCATTCCCCGCGCCCCGCAGGCCGCGCCCCCCGTTCCCCCCGCCGCCCCGGGAGGCCGCGCCCCCCGTTCCCCCCGCGCCCCAGGGAGGCCGCGCGGGCGCCCGGCCGGGCGGGGCGGGGCGCGCGGGGCGCGCGGGCGCGGGGCTGCGGGGCGTGACGTCACGCCCGCCCCGGGTGATGCTGCAGCGGCCGCGGCGGGCCGGGGGCGGCCGGGCGGGGACGCGGGCGCGCGGGGCTGGCCGGACCCGGCCCGGGAGGGGGCGCCTCCCGGCTGCACCCGCAGGTACCCCGTCTCTGCGCCGCGGGGCCGGCGGGCGCGGCCTGGGCCCGGGCGGCGGTCGGGGCGCCGGCGGGTCGGGCGCGGCGCGGCGGGACCTTTGTTCGCCGCGAACGTCCCTCCCGGGGCGGGGGGGGACCCGCCGGGGGGGCGGGGGCGCGGGCGCGGGGGACCCCCGGCCCGGCCCCGGGGGGCGCCGGCGCCTCACCTGGGCAGGTGCATCCGCTTCCGGGTCAGCCCGCGGGGCGCGCCCTCCGCGGGTCAGAGGTCAGGGTCTCGCCGCGCCCGCCCGCCGGGAGGAGCCGGGTGAGCCCCTCGCCGCCGGGGTGCGGCCCGGGAGGCCGCGGGGGTCGCAGCCGGAGGCCTCGGGCGCCCCGTCCCTGCCCCGGGCCCGCGGGAACTTCTGGGGCGCCCCCGGGGCGCCGAGGGGATGCGTCTCCCTTCGGCGGAAGGAGCGTGGGGGCCCGGACGCCACGTCGTGGGCCCGGACCAAGTTTTGGGGCTCGGCTGCCCACGATGCTTCGCCAGCTCGTTCAGTGCACCCCAGGGCACTGCGGCTGTCGGTGCGCGCGGAGACTCCCTTGAAGCTGCACCTGCGGGGCGGGCCGGGGGCGCGAGGGGCTGCGGGGGCGGGGGGCTCGGGGGGCAGGGGGGTGCAGTGGGCTCGTGCGGGGTCCTCGGGCCTTCAGGCCCCGACCTTGCTCGTCTGTAGGAATCACTCGCCGCGTCGTCCGCCACGGCCCAGTTCCAGGGACTGGATCCTGCACCCCAGAGCCGGCCCGCGGCGGCCTCGGGTCCGGGGTCCCGGGGAGGGGTGACAGCCAAGGCCGCGTGCTGCTCGGTGTTTCCCTCCCAGCCGTTTGGGCAGGAGCGAATTTGACACATTTCTCTTGAAGTAACAGGTCACGGTTTCGAATACATATTTTTAAAATAAGCATGGAAACACCCCCCCAAATTTGAAGGGGGTCCCCTAGCAATGACTTTTTCCCAGCCCAGATTTAATTCCGCCGGAGATGCTGGGGCCCCAAGGGGGTCAGGCTGCAAAGGAGGCTTGAGCCTGGGGTGGGGGGCAGGTGCTGATGAAATCGTCTTACCGGTAGGCAGGGGTCCCCGGGGTCCATTCTAGGCAGGGTCCAAAAGGTCCCCCTTTCAAAAGCGTCCTTGCCGCGGGAGGCGAGATTCTTCCCCAGGGGACCTGCGGGTCTTCAGGCCGGGGAAAGGCCAACTTGCGCCGGCCCTGCAGTCGGCTCCCTCCCGGGGCCAGCGGAGGGCCTGGCGCAGGGCAGGAGAGGGCAGGGTGGCCGGGTGCGCGGGGCTGGGAGCGGGCGCCGGCCCCCACACCTGGGCTCCAGGGCTTCCTTCTGATTTGGAAGGAGAGGCAGCTTCCAGGGGCGCCCCAGCTCCGTGACTTTGAGCGAGGCCCCGGGGTGCCCACCTGGGTGCCCCGGGCGAGCGAGGCCAGCCGGCGGGTGTTGTGCGGCGCGTGCTGCGGCCAGGCCCGAGCGGAGGCGGGAGGAGCACGCGCGGGGAGCTCAGCGTTGTGAAAGTGTTCTGGCCGCACGCCTCGTGCGTGAACGCTTGTCTTAGACAGTCCCTCGCCTGCCCCACGCTTGGGTCCGCCTGTCCTTGCAGAGGAGCCCGCGGGATCTTCTCAGGACCCCGGGGAAGCCATTCATAGACGTGAGAGTAGACAGAGGCTCGGGGTGCGCCAGTCCCCTCGTCTTAGTATAAACCCACCCGTGGCAAGGCTTCAAGGCCCTGCGTGATCAGCTGAGCCCCCCAGCGGCGGCGTCCCTCACCACACAGCCGCTGTGCACGACGGGCGCTCACACCTCTTCGCACAGGTGACGCCCCCTCTCACGGCGCCTTCCTCCGCTTTGCACCTTGTGGGGCTAGACCTGGGTCTTTCTTTTATCTCTAAGAATTGGTGTCCAGTACTCAGTCAGGTGGGAGGATGGGTAGCAGGTGGGTGGATGGATGGGTGGATGGATGGATGGATGATGGATGGATGATGGATGGATGGACGGATGGTGGATGGATGGAGGATGGTGGATGGATGGTGGATGGAGGATGGTGGATGGATGGTGGATGATGGATGGTGGATGGAGATGGATGATGGATGGTGGATGGATGGATGGATATGGATGGATGATGGATGGGATGGATGGATGATGATGGATGGTGGATGATGGATGGATGGATGGTGGATGGAGGATGGTGATGGTGGATGGATGGATGATGGATGGATGGTGGATGATGGATGGATGGTGGATGGATGGTGGATGGAGGATGGTGGATGGATGGTGGATGGATGGTGACTGGATGGATGGTGGATGGATGGAGGATGGGATGGATGGTGGATGGATGGTGGATGGATGGATGGTGGATGGATGGTGGATGATGGATGGATGGTGGATGGATGGACGGATGGAGGATGGTGGATGGATGGACGGATGGATGGATGGATGATGATGGATGGGGATGGATGGTGGATGGACGGTGGATGGTGGATGGATGGGTGGATGGTGGATGGATGGATGGATGGATGATGGTGGAAGGATGGACAGATGGAGGATGGATGGATGGATGGATGGATGGTAGACACGTGGGTGTGAGGACAGGGCATAGGAGGGTAGATGGGCGGGTCGCTGGGCTAACACGACGTCCTGGTTCCTGCCGGGACATCTCTGAGGCAAACCATTGCCACCATTTTCTTCTGAAGGGAAGAAAGACGACGTGTCCGCGGGTGGGGGGGGTAGGTTGGGGGACGCAGGCCTGGAGTGCCGAGGCGTTTCAGAGTGATTCATGAGGAGCTCACCCGTCGGCGGTCAGCGAAGGAGGGGGTGGTCAGCTAGTGTCAGAAGTAGGGCTTCGTTTCTGAAGCCTGGAACTAGCGGCGAACTTGGTAAATCACAAGCGCCCTTGGGAGAAGGTGCTGGAATGTCGCCTCTGGCTCGGGACCCACGTGAGGCTCAGGAAGGACTTCAAAAAAACGGAGTCAGTGTTGGTGAGGCAGGTGGGAGGCCGGGGCCAGCGCCCTAGACACCCCTGACAGAGTCGTTCCGCCTCTTTCCCTCGGGGGTGAAGCCCCAGGGGCTGCTGGACGCTGACCCGGGCCCACAAAGCGACGCGAGGACGGGGGGGGGGTCTACTTCTCAGCCCCGCGGCTCCGGGGAGCCTGCTGCTGTCCCGCGCGGCGCCAGGCGGCGGGGCCTGCTGACTCCAAGGGGCCCTTCCAGACCAAGTCTCGGCTCCCGGGCCCGGGTGCGGATTCCCGGGCCGGTGGGCGCGCATTCAGCCCATCAGCTGCTGCTGGCGGGGCTCCTGGCCTGGCCTGCGGGGCAGCCTGCTTCCCGGGGGTGGCCCCTGTGGCTCACCGCCCCTGGAGGGAGGGTGTCCCCGAAGCTGGCAGCAGGGCTCTTGGGAGGCCTGTCCCGGGCTGGCCCCCCTCGTCTCTGCTCCCTTGGGACCTGCAGGCAGGGGCATCGTCAGCCTGAAAATGAACTGGCCTGCTCGGGGCCCCCCAGGTCTGGCCTGACCCTCCCCATGTTTGGGGAGCAGGCCCTTTGAGTGTTAATGCGGGGCCCGCAGACAGCACCCAGCTTCGGGCTCCTTGGGGGAGGGGCTGCACTGGCATCCCCTGCAGGCACCGGGCGCCACCTCGGGGTGCTCGGCGTGGGCCTCCACGGGCTTTCCGCTGCGACCTCCTTGTTCCCACGGGAAAGGGGACCGGGGGCCGGGGGGCGTGCTCTCTGAGGGGGAGGCCCCCTGTTGACGGTGGCCCCATGGGCTTTCCCCACAGGAACACCCGCCAGCCCCCTGTACGATGATCCCGCCGGCGAGCAGCACCCCTCCGGGAGAGGCCCTCTTCCCCGCGCTGGCCCCCAGGACTTCTGGAGGACGCAGGTGTCGGGCTACGCGGGGTCCGTGACGCGGCACATCAGCCACCGGGCCAACAACTTTAAGCGCCACCCCAAGAGGAGGAAGTGCATCCGCCCCTCCCCGCCCCCGCCCCCCAACACCCCGTGCCCCATCGAGCTGGTGGACTTCGGGGATCTGCACCCCCAGAGGTCCTTCCGGGAGCTGCTCTTCAACGGCTGCATCCTCTTCGGCATCGAGTTCAGCTACGCCATGGAGACGGCCTACGTGACGCCGGTGCTGCTGCAGATGGGCCTGCCCGACCAGCTCTACAGCCTCGTGTGGTTCATCAGCCCCATCCTCGGTGAGCCCGGCCCGCGGGCGCCGCGAAGCTTCCAAAAGCCTCCGAGGAAGCCGCTCGGGGCTCCCAGGGGACGGGGCAGAGCCAGCGTGACGCCCGCTCACCTGGGACGGCCCCGCTCACCTGGGACGTCGGGAGGGGGAGCCCCGGCCATGCCCCGCCGTCCAGGGGCTCCTCCAAACCAGACCGCAGAACGGGGAGCTATGCCCGTCAGCTGCCGAGCTGTCCCGGGGCGCCCAGCCGCCTCCCTGCCGGGGTCCCGGGGTCCCGGGGAAGGCAGCGGCTGTGCCTTGCGGGGCGCTGCTGGCCCCAGGGGCCCACCGCCTTGTTTTCTAGCTCAGGGCTTAGAGGCAGCCTCTGCGCGGCAGCCTCTGGTCCCCTGACGCCGGGGCGCGAGGAGGCCCCTGCCCGCGGGGAGCCCTGACCCGCCGCTCTGTTTCAGGGTTCCTGCTGCAGCCGCTGCTGGGCGCGTGGAGTGACCGATGTACCTCAAGGTTTGGAAGGAGACGCCCTTTCATTCTTGTCCTGGCCATAGGTCTGTCGCCCGGCATGGAGGTCACGTGCACAAAGCAAAGGAAAGCAGAGCCCCCGCTGCTCCCCGCAGGACACGCTGCCAGTGTTGGCGAGCGCAGGCGCCCGGACGCTTTTTCTTTCTCTCTCTTTTTTTTTTTTTTTTTTTTGTGGGGCCCTCGCCGGCGGCCGGGGATCGAACCGGCGCTGCAGACGGTGCGGGCAGCCTCGCCACCCAGCGCTCAACCGCTGCGCCCCCGGGGAGGCCCCGGAGACCTTTTTCTTTTTAGAAATGTTTTTGTTGACGCAGCGTCGCTTCCCGACATGGCTCAGCTTCAGGGGTCCACGGTTTCGCTGCCGACCGTTCCGCCGGGTGGGGACGGGGCACCCCGCGCCTGGCCCCGGACGCCGTCGGAATCCGTCACTCTGACCGTTTTTTCAAATGAGCCCCTGCAGTCCCGTCTCCCCCGGCGAAATAAGACCCGGCCCGGCCCGAGCAGGGGTGGCGAGGGCGGTGGCCGGGTGGGAGAGGCTCCCGGGCCCCGAGGGCGCAGGACCGCGCGGGGCAGGCGGGGCGCGGCCCCTGCGTCTCGGGGTGAGCTTGTCTCTCGTCCCCAGGGGCGCTGCTGGGGCTCTCGCTGCTGCTCAACGGCAGGGACATCGGCGCGGCGCTGGCGGACAGCAGCGCCAGCCACAAGTGGGGCATCCTGCTCACCGTGTGCGGCGTGGTGCTCATGGACTTCAGCGCCGACTCGGCCGACAACCCCAGCCACGCCTACATGATGGACGTGTGCGGCCCGGCCGACCAGGACCGCGGCCTCAACATCCACGCCCTGCTGGCAGGTAAGGCCCGCGCTGGCCGCGGCCCCCTGGGGCGTCTCCTCCCACCCCGGCGCCCATCGAGGCGGTGAGGCTCAAATTCCCGCGCGAGCGCTGACCGGCCCGGCTCGGCCGCGGGTCTGCCCGTGGGGCGCCGGGGCTGTGCGCACGTGCACGTCACGCTCCTCGTCCCCCCAGTTACATCCTGAGACCTCACCGTGACCCCTGCCTTAGCACACGCTGCGCGCGGCCCCGGGGCAATGCTGGCGTCGGGCCTGTGGCCTCTGCTTAAGGCAGCCCGTTCCCCCATGTTCATGGGGCTCTGCTTGGGGACGCCTCCCTTTACACGCGCCGGTGGAACCCCACCTGGTGAGCCTCGCTAGCGCGGCTCCTGCTGCCTCACACCTTCCTGGGAAGGCTGGGCGCGGAGCGTGTCCCCGGGGCACCCATCGAGTCAGCAGGTGGGGAGAGCCCCACGTACGGAACCGGGAGCAAGGAGTCAACTGCGTGTGTGTCTGTGTGCGTGTGTACACAGCTGTGTGTATGCACACACGCACATGTGTGTATGCACACATGCACACCGTGCATGCACACGCGCACGAGCACACACATGCTCCCACACGCGCACACACGCCGCATTGCACTTAATTTGAAACCCAGGGAACAGCCTGTCAGAGCCAGGAGCTCGGCCGGGCAGGGCTGACCACTCGGAGCCTCGTTCTGGCCCCAGACAGTGGGAGCAAACAGGGGGGGGGCGGGGGTCACCATCCGTGGCCTCTCCAAGCCCAAGTCACTTGTAGAAAATGCCACTGCCCCCCCCTTCGCCTCCCCCCCTCCCTTGGCCACATTTAGGGGCACACGACAGCACTTGTGTCTTCCGAAGGGGCAGGGGGAGCTAATTGGAGCCAACATGGGAAATCAAGAATAAGGGGGTGCCTGGAAGCACCCTCTGGGGGACGTGAAGGTTGTTAAGGACATCCAGGCCCTGCCGCACCTGAGGGGCGTCGGAAGGTTGACAAGGGCATGTGTGAGCCCAGACCTTCCCCACAGACGTCACTATGTAAACGGCAGCCCCCCAAGTGACCCCTCCCGGTTCTCCCTACAAAGTGCAGGGGGTGCAGCTTCTTCCCCGTCAGGGATGGCCAAGAGAGGGGGTCTCCCCACCCGACTCGTCAAAATAAACCCCCCGCGATCTCGCCGGAGCCGGAAGGCGCAGGAGGGCCCGGGCGGGGCCTGGCAGCGGCGCCCCTTGCTTTCGAGGCTGGGCTGGCGCACGTGGTCTGCGGCTGCCGGCGCCCGGCGGCGCCTGCCCCGGTTCCGACTGCGGCGTGGCCCGGCTCGCCATAGCCTGCGCCCGAGGCCGGGCCGCGCAGGGAGCGGGACAGAGGAGAGGGCCGGCTCCCGGCAGCCCCGTGGCGCCCCCGGCCCGCTGACCCCGGGGCGCACCCACCCCTGGTGAGCATTGGGGCGTCCCCCGAGGTGGAGGTGAGAGTCGTGGGGGACGACGCCATGAGGCCCGAGGCTGGGGGCGCGGCCCGGGGTTGGAGAGACGACACCCCCTGTGCGCCGGGGGCCCGGGAGACGGCGGTCTGCACATCCACTTGCGCGGCTCCACAAAGGGCTCGTCTGCAGGGGTCACCCCGGGGCTCGCCGTGGGCCCTGGCAGGCAGCCCCCGAGCCCTGCTCTCGCTCTCATTTTGGGGTTCGTGGCCCCGGGCTCGCGCTCCGCTCTCTCCCCAGGTCTGGGAGGGGGCTTCGGATACGTGGTCGGGGGATCCACTGGGACAAGACCGGCTTCGGGAGAGCCCTGGGCGGGCAGCTGCGGGTCATCTACGTCTTCACGGCCGTCACGCTGAGCGTCACCACCGTGCTCACCCTGGTCAGCATCCCCGAGAGGCCCTGCGGCCGCCGAGCGCGAAGAGGACCGCGCTGAAGAGCCCCAGCCTGCCGCTGCCCCCCTCCCCGCCCCTGCTGCTGGACGCGGGCGCCGGCGACGCCCCGGCCGGCCACGCGGCCCCCGGCCTGTACGCCAGCTTCTCGGGCCCCGTCTCCCCGCTCAGCCCGCTCACGCCCAAGTACGGCAGCTTCATCAGCAGGGACAGCTCGCTGACCGGGCTCAACGAGTTCGCCTCGTCCTTCGGCACCGCCAACATCGACAGCGTCCTCATCGACTGCTTCACGGGGCGGCCCCGACGGCTACCTGGCCGTCTCGGGCAGCCTCCCGCGCCAGGCGCTCAGCGTCAGCTTCCCCCGGCCCCCGACGGCTTCCACCGGCCGGGCTGCGGCCTCGGGGACCGGCGGGAGGGGGCCTGGGCGGCCCCGACGGCGACGTGCTGAGGGTGGGCTCCCTGGACACCTCCAAGCCGAGGTCGTCGGGGATCCTGAAGCGCCCCCAGACCCTGCCATCCCCGACGCGCGGGGGCGGCGGCCCCGACACCAGCAGGAGAAGGAACGTGACCTTCAGCCAGCAGGTACGCCAGGGCGGAGAGGGACGTGCCCAGCCCCGTCCGGGCCGGCCAAGCCTTGGCGGGGAGGGAGGCGCGGCCGCAGCGCCGTCACCCGCGTGGCCCCCGAGAGGCTACACGGGCTCGGGGGCCGCACGTCTCCCGTGTGCCCCAGCCAGGACGCCGGGGGCTCCCCGAGCCCTGCCCCGTTGGCCCGGCGGGGCTGCGGGCCGCGTCCGTGGTGCAGGCCTTCCCGGGACCGCCCGCCGCGTCCGAGGGCCTGCGGGTCGGAGTCCCCGGAGAGTGGCCCAGAAGCCCGAGCCCGGCGGGTGTCCCCCCCCAGGGGCTGCCCTGAGCTCAGCCTCCCGGGAGCCGCGACGTTTCTCCCGGCGCCGAGGGCCGCGGCTGCCAGGGCGGGACGCTGGGAAGCTGCGCTGACTGGGCCCGCGTGCCGGGCCGAGGGGCCGCACCCCCGCGAGGGGGTTGTCCACAGCTTTGGGGGCTTTCTGGAAGAAAGGCTTCTCCGAGCAGACCCGGGGCTGCCCGCACGCCCTCGGGCACGTGCCAGGGCGACCTCGTTTCAGAGGGGCCGAGCGGGGAGAGGGGAAGGCGAGGCTCGGGCGACACAGGCCGGGGGCGGGAGCCGCGGCGGGCCGTGTCTCCCCCCCTAGCACCCCATCCCGCCCGGCAGTCCTGCCCCACACGGGGTGGGGGCCCAGTCAGGTGTCCCGGCCAGGCTGGGAGACCCCCGGGCTCAGTGGGAGGCTCCTAGAGCATTTTTGAGGTGGCTGCTCACTCACTCGTTGGGTTCTTGGGGTCCCCCTCCCCTCCGCGGCATCACGCCTGAAGCCTTAACACCCTTCGGGTCACTTCTGAAGGGGGATGGTGGCCTCGCCCGAGTGGGGTGCTGTGTCCCTGAGAGCCAGGACACCCCGTCACTGGCAAAGGGGTGTCTCCAGGGGCGCGAGTCCAGGAGCCCCTCGCTCTCGATGACCCCGACAGCCATGAGGCCTTTTGTCAACACTGGGCCCCGTTGTTCCCCCAAATGCAGACTGGCTTCCCGATACAGATCTCCAGGGGCCGCTGCGAAGTCTTTTGATCTTTTTGTCCCATTTCCCCGGGGCGCAGCGGCCGGTCCGCTCCTTGAGGCGAATACCCTGGGCTCAGGCGGGGGGTGGCTCCACCCGGCTCCCTCTGGCCTGCGTGGGGGCGGCCCCCCAAGAACGGGGCCCCTCCCGGCCCGGACCAGCGGGCGTTTGCCTCTGCAGCCCCGGGGACCAGAGCCTCTGCTGCGCCTTCTCCTGAGCGCGCCCGCGGGCACCCCGGCACCCCCAGAGCGAGGCCTCGCCAAGTCGGTGGCTCCGGGACCGTCCATCCCGAGCCCCAGAAAGATACCGAGACCCCCCGCTGCGGTTTCTAGGCCGCGACGGGGCTGTCCGCCGTGTGGGCAGCCAACCCCGCGGTCCTTCCTGCACCCGGGCACCCGGCCGCTGTGGGGGGGGGACGCCCCTCCCCAGCCCCCCGGAAGCAAGTCCTTCCCACCCCTCTCCCGGAACGGGGGGCCGCGGAGGGCCTGCACTGCCGCCCCCCACCCTCTCGCTCCCGTCGCTGCCACGCGGCTGGCGTTGGGGACCCGCGGCCCAGGTCCGGCCCTCCTGCCGGCCGCAGGCAGCGGAGCCCGTCCCGGGGCGCCGCTCGCCCCCAGGCCACAGCCCGTCGGTCTCCGGGGGTCCCGCGCCCCTCACCGCGGCCGCGGCGCTCCCGCCCTGACCCGGCCGGCCTTGCAGGTGGCCAACATCCTGCTGAACGGCGTCAAGTACGAGAGCGAGCTGCCGGGCTGCGGGAGCCCGCGGGCCAGGCCCTGTCGCTGCGCCAGCTGTGCGCCAGCATCTGCAGCATGCCCCGCGCGCTGCGCAGCCTGTGCGTCAACCACTTCCTGGGTGAGCGCCCCGGGCCCCGGCCGGCGCCCGCATCCCGGGCCCCTCGGGCGGCGGGGGGAGGCTCCTCGCCGGGCGGGGCAGAGACAGCCGCTCTGGCGCCCCCCCCCCCCCCCAGGGACACCTCACCCCGCCAGAGCCAAACCCTCTTTACCCTCTTGGCCCCTAGTGGCAGCCGCCCCTTCTGGCGCGGGGCCTGTGCCCTGAAGCGGGTGGGGGGCCCTGCCATCCGGCTCCCAGAGACAGAGGCCCCGCGTGTCCCCGACGGCCAGCGCCGGGTCCAGGTCTGGCGCTCCCTGGGGGCCGGCTGTGCTCCCCCCCCCCCCCCCGGTCCCGGAGGAAGCCGAGCCCAGGGTCTCGCCTGCGGGACAGAGCGGAGCGGCCCGGCCGGCCTCGGAGCCCGTCGGAGCAGCGCGGTTAGGGGCCCCTAAGCCTCAAAGAAAGCGGGGTGCCCGCGCGGGGGCCCCTGGTGGAGGCCCAATGGGGCGTCTCCTCACCGAGAGGTCCTGCTGCGCCTCCTCACGCGTCCTGAAACTTAGGGCAGCACCCCGCCCCCTGCGCCTTCCCCAGCCCGCGCCCCGCGCCCCGCACTCTTGTCTTCCCGTGGGGGCAGGTGCTGGGCAGCGGGGCCGGGCCTCGGGGAGCAGGGCTGGGCGCAGCTTTCCAGAGCAAACCAACCCTCCCTGCTACAGAGGCCAGTGCTGGGGGGGGGGCGGGCGGGGGTGTTGGGGTGGACCGCGGGCCGCTGAACCCCGAGAGCCTGCGGCCTCACCATGCCTCTGCCTCCCAGGCTGGCTCTCCTTTGAGGGGATGCTGCTCTTCTACACCGACTTCATGGGCGAGGTGGTGTTCCAGGGGACCCCAAGGCGCCCCACTCGTCGGAGGAGTACCAGAAGTACAACAGCGGGGTCACCATGGGCTGCTGGGGCATGTGCATCTACGCCTTCAGCGCCGCCTTCTACTCAGGTACCCGCCGCACCCCCCCCCGCCCCCGGCTCTGGGGCCCCTGGGCCCCGCCTGGGGGGCTGCAGATCTGTTCTGGACAACGCAGGTTCCCCAAATCCCAATTTGGAGTGAGACTGGGGCTTTTCTCAGTCATTTCTACAACCTGCGGGGCGCCCCCGCCCGGGCTGGGGCTGCGTCCAGACCTGCGGGAGCTGCTGGCCGAGGGTCAGCCCACGGGGTCGCTGCCCACGCCCCCACCCTCCCCACGGCCACGTCCCCCTCCACACAGCGGTGCGGGGTGAGGCGTGGGGGGCCCTCGCCGGTGGGGTCACGCTCCGGGGCCAGGTGCGCGCGGGTGCTGCGCCCCAGCCGCCCAGGGCCCCCCGGTCAGCCTTCGGCCTCCTTCGCGGGAACTTGGCTCCTGGGGTTTCCCCGCGCCAGGGACAGTCTTGTGGTTTATGAGAAAAACTGAAAAATACGAAAACCATCCCCGGCCCGGCGCCGGCTCACGCGGGCTCTCCCGGGCCCGTGGCTTGTGGGTCCGTTTCGCTCCCCTCGTTTCTCCAGCCCAGCCCCGGGAGTGACGTCCGCGGTGGGGACAGGCCCGCGCCGGCGCCCCGCCCCCTGGGTCTCTCGCCCGAGGCGGCCGCGGGGCGGGGGGCGCGTTCTCGGGGTCCACGTTGCCGCGCCCTCCTGGGCCACCCCGCGAGGCCCCTGGGTGCCTCTAGGAGCGGGGACCGGGCTGGCGGCGCCCTCGTTCTAGAAGCCGGACCCGCACAAGAACCCAAGGCTTAGCGCCAACGCCCCGTCCCCGCCCCGTCCCCCGCCGTGTGGCCGGCCCTGCCGTCCGCGGGTCCGCCCTGTCCTGGGCCCCGCCAGAGCCCCGGGCCCCCAGCACCCGGGCCGCCCGAGGCTCTCTGGCCTGGGGCCCCCTGCTGCCAAGCCGGCCCCCCGCCCCATTCCCCCTGGCCGGGGCGGTGATGGGGCAACTGAGCCCCGCGCCGTGGGCAGCTGACCGCCTCCCCGCAGCGATCCTGGAGAAGCTGGAGGGCCTCCTGAGCGTCCGCACCCCTCTACTTCATCGCCTACCTGGCCTTCGGCCTGGGCACCGGGCTGGCCACGCTCTCCAGGAACCTCTACGTGGTCCTGGCGCTCTGCACCACCTACGGGGTCCTGTTCTCCACGCTGTGCACCCTGCCCTACTCGCTGCTGTGCGAGTACTACCAGAGCAAGAAGGTACGGCCCCGTCCCTGCTGCCCCCGCGCTCTCGGGGGGACCCTGCTGGGCGCCCCCGGCGGCCGGGGCTCGGGGCTGGTGCAGTGCAGACCCTGAACGCATGGCAAGAGCCCTCCCCCCAGCAGACGGCTGCCCCATCCATGCGGGAAGTTGGGGAGCGGGAAGGAGAGGCCCACCCACCCCGGGGCGCCCCCAACCCCGTCAGGCTTCCGGGGCGCCTGCTGCGAGCCTGGGCGTGGGCGAGGTGGCGGAGCGGTCGCCTTGGTACTAAACGGGGCGCTGAGACGAGCCCAGATGCAGGCTGCGCCTTCCGGGCCGGCTGCGGGGGGCCCCGCGTGGTGTCTGACTGCAGAACATCGGGGGCGCCGTCCTGTCTCTATGCAGAATTTGGGGTTTTGTTCAGCCTGGGTTGCTCTTTAACTGCTTGACTGAGATCTGGCTCACCAGCTGGGCCAGGCCGTTGCCACCATCGTCAGTTAGAACATTTTTGTCACCCCCAAAAGAAACCGTCGCCCCAGCCCCGCTGGTCTGTCTGTGGCGCCCTCTTGGCGGACCCCGCGGCCCTGCCCCCTGGCTTCTCTCCCCGGCCGCCGTCCTCAGGGCTCGGCCACGTGTCCGTGCGGCCGGGCCGGTCGCGGGCCTGGCGCGGTCTGCAGTGAGGGGCCACCTGAGCTCGGGGCCTCTCGTCTTGGGCCTTGGTCACGCGTGGTCTTGCGGGAGCTCGGCTGGGCCGCCCCCCGCCCCGGCCCCAGCCACCACCGCCTCCCGGCCACGCAGACGGGCCCCTCGCCACCCCCAAAGACAAAGGGCAGCCCCCAAGAGACCAGGGGGCTTGGGCGTCTCTGCTCGGCTCCCAGCCCCCGGCCCCCGTCAGTCCCCTGGGCCCAGCCGCCTGCCCCTTCCGCGGCCGCCCGGCCGCTGCTGGCTTGTGGGTTTGGGGCTGACCCGCGACCTCCACCACGGAGCGCCCCTCGGGCCCCCCGGCTTTCCACCGCGAGGACGCGGCCCTGAGCCTGCTGCTCTGCTCGGGGCCCTGGCCGCCCCTGAACAGATCCGGGCATCCCTGGCCGAGCCCCGGGCGCATGGCCCGGCCCGTGAGCCAGCGCTGGCCGGGTCTCGGGGGCTGCCGGGCCCGGAGGCGGCCGCGGGCCCCGCTGACGCGGCTCTTCTCCTGGCCAGTTCGCAGGGTCCAGCGCGGACGGCACCCGGCGGGGCATGGGCGTGGACATCTCCCTGCTGAGCTGCCAGTACTTCCTGGCCCAGATCCTGGTGTCGCTGGTGCTGGGGCCCCTGACCGCGGCCGTGGGCAGCGCCAACGGGGTGATGTACTTCTCCAGCCTGGTGTCCTTCCTCGGCTGCCTGTACTCCTCCCTGTGTGTGGTCTACGAGGTCCCCCCCGGCGACGCCGACGAGGAGCACCAGCCCCTCCTCCTCAACGTGTGACGCGCCAGGCCCGGCTGGAGTGTAAATACGCGACGGCACAATAAAGGGCGGCAGCGAGCGCGCCAGCTTCTGGTGTGGCTCCCGGAGCCGAGGGGTCTCCTGGGGCCTTGGCAGGGGCCCCAAGAATCTCTCATTGACTGTGAAGGCGACGAGAGCCAGCGCGATGGTTCTCTGGGGGGGGAGCACCCCCAAGACATCTGCCGACGTCGGGATGGGCACTGCTGTCCGGGGACGCAGGAAACACCCTGCAAGGCCGGGGGGCACCCCCGACACCTGTCCGCCCGCCCGTCCGTCCATCCCCCATGTCTGCCCACCCAAACCACCTGTCCGTCCTGGGGGTGGCAGGCAGTGGTAGGTCCTGGGCCTCCACCATGAGCAACTCGTCCTGCCCTCGGGGCTCTGGTGAGAGCAGCCGGGGCCTCCCTGAGGTTTTGCCTGAGGCGCGGTCGGTGCTTGAAGGGAGCAGGTCGGGAACCGGGGTGGGTTGTCCTAGGGACAATGTCTGGGCCGCCTCTCTGGCAAGACCCTTTGAGCAACGCAGGGTGACGCCTCCTGGTGACACGAGAAGATGCCTGCGATCCGAGCCGGGGCGCCCCTGGTGCAGTTGAGGGGTCCCAAGCCCCAAATGCCTGCATCGCAAGACTCCCTGTGAGGCAGGACCCCCAAGGGGGACAGCCAGGGTGAGCCCCGGCTTCCCGTGCGGGCCGAGGCACCGCACCGCCTGGACTGTCCGCGTCCGTGGGCGCTGAGCTGGCCGCGGACCCCGTCCCTGGGGCGTGGCTGTCGCCCTGGCACCCGCTGCACGGAGCTGGGCCTGGCCCCAGGACGCTGCCCGCACTGCCCGTCTCGGGCACACACGGGACACGCTGACCACGTGTTTTACACGAGCAACAGGGCCCTGGACCTGTCACCCACCTGAGGAGCTGGGGCCATGGCAGCGAGCGTGAGGCACAGCTGGGCACGAAACAGCTTTCCGCAGGGCACGCTGGCCACCGCCCCACCTGGGTGCAGCCTCCCTGCAGGCCTCACGGCTGCCCTCCCGGGGCTGGGGTGGCTCCTGAGAGGCCCCGGGGCCCAGGCCCTTCCTCCCTGGGTCTTGGCCCTGGGCCAGGATCTCTGCCCAGCTCCTTGCCGCCAGTCTCCCCTCTCCTCTTTACACCCTAATCCGGGCTCTGCCCTTCCCGGGCCTCCTGCTCTCTGCAGCTCCAGCTGCTGCATCGCAGCAGAGCCCTGGCCAGCGGCTGGCAGACCTGCCCTGTGCTCACGCTCCCCCTGCCGTGGTCCCTCCACTTCTTTTCTAAGTCATCCTAGGAGCTACAATGCCACCTCCTCCATGCAGCCTGCCCAGGTTGGCATCACCCATTCCCTGTGTCTTTGTGTCACGCCGCTTTACCCTTCACGGCGACCGGCAGAGTGAGGACGGTCTCCTGTCCCAGAGCCATGTGTGGGTGGAGCACAGACCAGGCCCCCCGCCTTCCAAATCACCGCTCCTTTGGGTTTCCTGTGATGTTATTCCTAGGACCCGGCCCTTGTCCACCCTACTTTCATGATGCTTGGAAGTGCTTTAGGTTTTCTAGAAAACGTGGTGTTGGATGGCTGTGCTCTGGAATGTCTGCTCAGAACGGCCGAATCCTCAGGAGAGACGAGGACCAAGGAGGCTCCCCTCACTCCTGGCTCCTCACATGCAGAAGGGCTGCTGTGGGCCTCCCTCCTGTGACTCTGCTCCCAGGCAGGGCTGCTGGGGAGAGTAGGCTGGACAGTGTGAGAAACCGCCCGCGGCCGAGGACGCAGGACCTCTGCCACTCGGCCAGTGTTTACGGAGCCCCTACTATGTGCCGGCGCGGGACAGGAGGTGCAGTCTGTCTAGGGGACACCCCTGGCCTCTCTGCAACACCCACGCCTGCCTCGCTCACCTGCAGCCCCGGGGCCCCGGCCGCCACCTCCTGTGCTGCTCCTCCAGTCAGACGGTCCAGTTGCCTTTGGGCCAGGACGCCCACCCCACTCCTGCATCCCGGATGGTGCCCAAGCCACCTACCTCCAGGGAGCAGGATTCTTGGACCCAAGCTCCTCCCTGGGTCACCCTGGGGTGTCCGGGGCTCTCTGCGGCGGCCCCTGGGCTTTACTGCCACCTGGTGGCCGGGATTGGGGTAGCAGCCAAATTCCAAAGCTGAAGGTGGCGGAGCACCCGGAGGCTCGAGGGGCGAGGGCCTCGCGCAGGCTCCTGCAGCCATCTGCGGAGAGGTCAAGGCATGAGGCCTGTTGTTCACTGAATTCACCGCTGTGGGTGCTCACGCCCCAAGTTCACTGGACACTGACCCTCAGCACACCCCAAACCTGAGAACGGTGTGACCCAGGGCTGGAGCCAGAGGGGCGGTGAGACTCCCCAGCAGGCACAGCCAGGTCTGGGGGGGGCAAGATTAAGGGGACCCTGAGGGAGGGCGGACCGCTGAGGGGCCACAGCAGGGGCCCTTCTACCTGCTTGTTTACAACTCAGCTCTCCTGGTACCTGAGGGCCTTCGAGGGAGGCCACGCGCACCTTCACCCTGAGGACAGGGGCCCTGGCTGACCTAGGGGCTGCCCAGGTGAGGTCCCTGTTCACCTGAACTTAGCAGGGACGCTGACCATCACGGCGGCCGAGCGCCCAGTGGGTGGAGGACGGGCCTCGCGCCGCCGGGGCAGTGGCGGGACAGAAGCCAGTGGCTGTCACGCGGCAGGCAGGCCGTCTCAGAATGGGGAGGCAGGGTGGGCACAAGGGCCACAGCTACCCACACCCTTCAGGGCCCGCTGCGCCCTTCTCTGCCACACAGGTGCAGCCACCGTGCCCCCGCCTGTTCTTTACCCTCCTCGGAATGTTCATCTCTAGCCCTGCGCCAGCGGACGAGCGCAGCTCCCCACAGCACGGCCCAGACGAGGCACAAGGCCAGCGCAGAGGGCCCCGCACCCCGGCTGCCCGGCCGAGTCCCCGCCGCCTCCCGCGGCTCTCGCCCGCAGACCCTCACGTCGTCCCAACCGCCCACCCCGACGCCCGCTGTCTGAGGACACGGAAGTGTCCCTGGGACCAAGGGCGTGCAGGCCACGCGAGCCAGCCCGGGCCGAGCCCTCGTGCCTCTGGCGCACGGGCAGCTCGCGCCCCTCTCCCCGGGCATCTGGAGGCGCGGGCATTTCCCAAACAGGCGAGCACGGGCATTTCCAGGGACCACGGTGAAGCGTCGGGAAGATGCCCGCCAGTGCTGGAAACCACAGCCTGAGTCCAGCCTGGTGACCGCCGTCCTCGTGACCACCAAGAGGGCCCCCCCACCCCCCAAACCCCGGCCGGGGCTAGGGAACCATCAAGGACGGCAGAGGGGACAGGGCAGGCGTGGTGTCCCAATACTGGGGTGCCCAGGACCGCTCTTAAGCCGCTCTCCATGCCCACACCAGGGAGGGGGGCGTGCCACAGGCAGGGGTATGTGGGGAAAACGGGATCTGGGCAGGTGCTCTTAGGCATCAGGGGGCCCAATTCAGGGCCCCACTATTGCCCATCAGTGGGGTGGTGCATCCCCCGGAGCAAGTTCTTCCGCCAGAAAAGCTGCATCCCCCACACAGCGCAGTCAGGGGTCTTTCTGGAAGTTGCTTTGGGAGGTTGGTTAAGCAGGGGGGGGCAGCACAGCAGGGAAGAACACCAGGCTCCCCTCTGCCCTGCCCCACAGTGGGGGACCTGCCGGGCCGGGGAGCCACGCCAACGCCCCCCCCCCCCAAGAAGGAGACACAGCCCGCGGCCAGCGCGCAGGTGCTGTAGTGTAGCTTGGTTTTATTTATGTTCACAAATATTTCAAAAAAATTACAAAATACTCAAATGGAGAGAACACAGAAGTCACGATTTCTGGGTGTCTACTCTGTTCACACTGTGTCATCTCATGGCAACTACTCATATATACATTTAGCTCAAGATATATAGAAACGTAGCAAATCAGAATGTACACTCGCTCTGCTGCGGCGCAGTGAACTGAAGCTCCACCTCGACGACATGGAACAAGATACGACAAACACAGGAAGCAAACCCAAGCTGCAGACGAGGGAGGAAACCCACGGGGAACCAAGGGGTCCGGCTTCAAAGACACGGCAAGAGCCTGGCGCCCCCGAAGCAGAGCGACGTGACCAGCGAGGGTTTCGGGTGGTGGGTCTCTAAGTGGAAGAATCTCAGTGCTTCGCGCGGGGGCGGGGGGCAGACAGCGCATACCTCAGACGGCCCTGCGCGCACACGTCCAGGCCTTCCCTCGAGGCCTTCCCTCTCTTCTCTGGGGTCGCGGATGACAGAGAGGAGATAAAGAAGGGCGTGACCGGGTGGGAGGCATCGTGTGGAGCCAAAAGCAACCTCGGGGGAGGAAGTTGGGGGGCGGGAGGAGCGGCCAAGGTCCAGAGTCGGGCGAGAAGCAGCCTGATGAAGACCACAGGCGCGCAGGAGAGCGCCCCGCCGGCACACTGGCACCCCAGAAACAGGCCTCCTGCCCATGTGGCCTCAAGTTTAAAAACCAAAGGTTTGTTCAAACTTGCCTCCTCTCTAAGGAGCTGAAGTTAAGGCAGAAATGGAATGAGATAACAAAAGAAAAAAAACTACAAACATGTTCAACAGACAAACCATCCTCTATCTGTCCCAACTGAAACCAGCCGCGGCTCGAACAGAAGCCGGGAACGGCCCGATACGGGTGGACCGGAACCTGAAGCTGCGCCGACACCTGCTGGCGTCTGGGTCGAAGCGCCAGCCTCGCCCCCCGGGCCACAGCTCTCGCGCACACGCCGAACCGCAGGTCCCCTGCCGGGGTCTGACAATTCCTGACGTGACCACCGCATGCGACGGCAGGGAGAGCCCCCAGGTGTCTGGGAGAGGACAGTCCCAGGCTGCCAGAAGCTTCTGCTCACGGTGCAGCCGTCCCCGGGACACCCGCCCCTCGCCTGACAAAGCGCGCTGGTCAGCCCCTGGGGGAGGCGGTGGCTCGGAGCAGGGCCGTCCTCCCGACCCCGCCCCGCTGGAAGCCGGCGCCTCCCGCCACCTCTGCGGGGCAGCTGCCACTCCTGGCTCCTCCTTCCAGGGTGGAGAGGGGGACCCCGATGGCCACTGTTTGACAAGGGTCCCCAGCCAGTCCTGCTCCTGGGCAGACACACCCACGGCAGGGTGGGCCCTGAGCCCCCCTCACTCAAACACAGCCTCCGTCTGCGCCGAGGATGGCCTGGTCTCACCACAGGAAGAGCCACGTGAGGACACACACGAAAGACAGGCTTCTAACAGATTCCTTTGGCAAGCGTATGTGTTGAGTTATTCGTAGGGAACCATTTTCTTGAATTTTCTAGAACGTTCATGAAATTGTCAGAATAATAAAAAAGGCAGTTTACCCAGAACAATCAGATGTGTGTGCATAGAAATCGCTAAGGAAATCTACAATCAGACACACAGAAACATGTGCTTTCTACCCAGACAGGAGGACATTGAGCTCCTGCACTCCTGGTGCAAAACGAAAGAGTTTTCTAAGGAGTCCGCACCCGCGGCAAAGCACAGCTGGGAACAGACAGAAGGGAAACCAAAGCGGACACAAAGAAACAGTCTGTAACATCGTCCCTGCAAACCCCTGGGTGCTCGCTGCTGCCACCAAACCCAGCCCCAAGCTTCTGCCCATTGCAACTAGTAACGCCCATCTGCTCCCTTTAATTAAAGGGATAATTATATATAACTTTTTATTAAAAAATCAACTCTGTATTCTGTCAATAGCTGGTAGGAATTCACAATTAGTGACATGGCTGGAAAAAATAGATCAGACTAGTAGTTTGTGGAAAGGAAAAAAAAAAAAGGCTGTTCTAAAATTACTTATTTACAGACGTAAAAAGCCATGCGCAGAACTTCCTCAAATCATGAAGATCTCCTACAATGTATTAAAATAAAAGATTTTTTAAAAATTATAGCTCTTGGATTCCAAACTCATATGCCGCCGAGCTGCAAACCTCGAGGGTTCTGGAACACACGTACCCGAGTGTGTCTGCACGCACAGTGGAGAGTGTGACCTGGATTCTAGCACCTACTGAGAAATCAAGGGAGGAAAGAAAACAAAAGCCAAACCCCAAGATGGCAGGGAAGTTTTCCAAGTGTTCAGTCCAGTCCAGGACTCACTAAGTTTCTGGGGGACGGTCATGCAGGGAGACCCAAACCAGCCTCAAGGAATCCTCTCTACAAACGAACACTAGAATGCCGATACAATTTTAGTTGTGGGCTTTTTAAATATATAAAGAAATCTTTAGAAGATATTCTTTTTGCTTTTGCAGCTCCTATTGTATGTAAAAAGTCCTGTTTCACCCCCCTAGAATTGGGGTTTCCACAGCCAGCGTTAACAAATAAATAACTTATAACTGCTTGTCACCTTCTTTCTTCAGTCGACTGGAAAGGAAAAAAAAAAAAGCATATTCAGCATCAGGCCTGGGGGTGGGAGCGGGCACAGCTGCGGGGATGAGATGCCACGAGGGACCCCATAATGGAGCCCCCAATCAGAATGGGACCCCTAGAGCCAGAGGGGAGGCGCGCCAAGGGCACAGTCACACGGGACATCGAGAAGCTGGTCGGGGGGCAGGCGGGCGCCCTCACCTGTAATAGTCTTCCTGACTGGGCAGGTGGCCCCCGTGCATGTGGGGGTGTCCATGCAGCCACTGCTGCTCCATGGCCAGTCTCTGCAGCTCCGCTGACTGGGCGTGCATGGCCTGCAGCTGATGGGCCGCAGACATGGGGGGCGGGATGGCGCCCGGCAGGTCTCGGGGGTAGGGGGTGCCTGCCAACACAAACAGTCTCTGCTGTGGAGAAGCCGAGAGCGGGCCATGGCTGGCAGGGAAAGGAGAGCCCCCCACCTGGGGGTGGGCGCCCCTGCTCCACAGATGGGGGATGGCTTGGGGCCCCTCCCCCTGGGGCTTCGGGCAGGGCCCAGCGGTTCCGGGTCACAGAGAGCCCGCAACGGAACCGGGTGCCGCCACCTCTCCTCCCCGCCCGTAACCGCTCGCTGGACACACGCACTCCTCGCGCCCAGCTCTGGGGGCAGGGGGGCCCGGCAGATGCCCAGCACGCGGGCATGTCCGCGAACGCATGAAGGGACGACGACCTCCGCCCGACCAACCTCCTCTTCCGCCGGCCCCTCCTCCCCAGGCGGGTTCTTACCGAAAACCGGGTGGCGAAGCATCTCGTGCTCGTGGGGCGGCTGTCCAAGCAGAGGGTTGGGGAGGGTGCCGGGAGGGTAGGGAAAGCGAGCCAGGTGAGGGCCAGCGGTCAGAGGGTCAACCAGCGGGTGAACCGGGCCTGCTGAACCTACACGAAGGGCACAAGAGTCTGGATGCAGACGGCGCGGGCTCTGGCTTGCGACGCCCGTCCGTCCCCCTTGGCTGAAGTGACCGACTTCCCGGCCACCAGGGCACCCACGCTCCTGACCCAAGTGGCCACCACCACCCACAGTGCCCAACCCCGCGGAGGCTGCGGAAGACAACCAGCCAGGATGCTGGCCCTGCGTGGGTTCCTCCCGTTCCCAAGCATCCCCAACAGGCAGTCTCCCCACCCCAGTTTATTGGGGACCCAGGTCAGCAGAGTCTGCCTGCCCGGGTGGATTCTGAGCCCTCTGCCCGCGGCCGTTCAACTAGCACCCCTCCACAGGGCTGCCTCTGGCCGTCCCCCAGAACATACGGCGGTCAGCAGAGTGCCCTGACAGGAGCCGAAACCTCCAGGCTCTGCCTCCAGCCTGTCCCCGGCCCTCTGCGGCCCTCAGCCCAGCTATGCTCTGGCCTCAGGTCCTTTGCAGCGGAGATGCCCTTTCCTCTGCTTCCCTCCTCTAAGTCTGCTCAAGCAACCCAGCGAGGCTTTCCCAAAGCCTTTCTTTCTTTCTTTCCCGGCATACAAGAACTGGGGGGTAGGCCAGTGGTGCGTGTGTGCAGGGGGTTGGGGGGGGGGAGGAGGATTCACCAGAGACTGAGTGGTCAGCAGAACACGTGCATCCACTGAAATCCACTGCGGAGGGGCGCAACGGGCGAGACAGGAGAGATCTGCTCGCCATGTGGGTAGCTCCCTGGCCGGGGATCGAACTCAGGCCATCGCAGAGACAGCGCTGAGATGCAACCCCTAGGCCACCGGGGAGGCCTTCCAAAGCCTTATTTAAGGCTACCTTAGGCTGTTTAGTTTTCCTAGAGGCACTTATCCCTCTTCACGACGTGAGACACACAGACTGCCACCCCCAGACGGAACGGAAGTAGGCACGGGGTGTCACCAGCCCCAGAGACTGCTGGACATGGCAGGTGCTCAGCTAACGTGCAGAAGGAAGGAAGGAAGGAGTGATGCGTGAGGCCCGTCCTCACAGGGTGTGGAGGCACGTTTGCTGGGTCTGCATGGCCTACAGCAAGTAGCAACCAAGTTGCATGGGGTGAGTGCAATGGGTCCTTGGTTTCCAGCCTGCCCGGAAGCCGGTCTCAGGGCAGTGCACTAGGCCAGGAAGCATGGGCTGCCTCCCTCTCGGGCACTGCTCACTGCCGTCTGCCCCCATTCAGGAGGGCTGCCCCAGGGGGTCAGCAAGGCAAGTGGGTGGAGCCACAGCACCGGCACGGCACAGCATCCCTGCCTCGGGCAGCCTTAACCCCAACCACCATCAGCACATCTGCAGGAGCCGGTCCCCAGACCGGACAGGACAGGGCCAGGGGGACCATCTTGAAACACTCAAAGTCAGCAGATGCCCAAGCCCAGCCCCCCAAGGGGGGCACAGGACTCTTAAGTTCTTACCCAGCGACCCTGGCTGTCCCAGCTGCCTCCAACTGGCCACAGCCCCACCTGCTGCCCTCGACACGCCCAGTGAGCACAGGGGGCCTCCCTTCTCCCGGGCCTGCAGGCAGGGCTGAGAACGCAGGTCACCAGGGCCCCCCCCAGGGACACCACCGGGACGCTGGGGGTCCTGACTCTTCCACGCGGGCCAAGCCAATGCCGCCCTCACACGAGAGCTGGGCCCATGGGCCCCCCGGGGCACCCACCTTGGTGGAGAGGGTCCTGCTGGTGCAGGTGGAGGTGCGAGTGGATGTGGGAGTGCTGGTGGTGGTGTGGGGTCACGTTGAACATCTGCAGGCGGGCCAGGGGGTCGCTGGTCAGCGAGGCCATGCGCTCCGCGTGGATCCGCTCGGCGGCGAGTCTATCGGGGTAGCTCATTTCTGGCCGCAGCTGGGGGCCCGCCAGGGCCAGTCTCTCTCTCTCCAAGGGGTTCAGGCCCGGGTGGAAAGAAGCGAACGGGTGGGGGCCCGCAGTGGGGGGGATGGTGAGGGCACTGTGCCTGGCGAAATGCTCCATGGGGTTGGTGGCGGGGTGCAGAGGGTCCAGCTCCGGGGGCTTCACCTCGAAGCCAGGCTTCATCCTCTCCCGCAGCTCCCGCTCGCGGATCTCCCGCTCACGGATCTCGCGCTCCCGCAACTCGCGCTCGCGGACGGCGGGGTCCACGCTGTAGAGGCCGGGCATGTGGTAGGCCAGCAGGGGGTCGGTGGGGTTGAGGGGCATGTAGAAGGGGTGGTTGCGGTTGGTGGGCGACATGACGTGCGGCCGCGCGTACTCGCTCAGAGTCCGAAGGGCCGGCGTGTCGGGCCCGATGTAGGGGGGCACGGCTGCGATGGTGGTCGGCGGGGGCTCGAAGGACGGCCGCATGTGGCCGGGGCCGCCAAGCTGGGGGTCGCTGAGACGGCCTTCGTGGGATGAGCTAGATGCTTTCTGCCGAAGGAAAGGGGGTGGGAGGGGTCAGCGCCAGGCTGCTCAGGACTCCGAGCCCCGTCCTGCTGCCACCCGCACCGGCCGCTGGCTCGGTCCCTCGAGGGTCCTGGGTTCTGGCCCCAGCCCAGTCTAGCCCCACCGTGGCAGCCTCGCCTGTGCCCAGCTTCCCCGGCCCCCGCTGGGCTCGCGTGCCTGCCCCCTCCGTGCCTCTGGGGTCCCCGGGACGGGGTGGCCACTGTCGCTCTGGACCTGCCAGGGCGCAGGGCAGAGCAGGGAGGAGGGCCCAGGGCTGCCAGGCGCTCACACCCTGACAGTACCGGAGGCAGCGCGGCCCAGACCCCCGCGGGACTCACGGCCGCCCGCTCCGCCTCGCGCTCCCGCTCCCGCTCCCGCTCGCGCTCCTTCTCCTTCTCCTTCTCGCGCTCGCGCTCCTCCCGGGCTTTCTGCTCGGCCTCCCGCTTGGCCTTCTCAATGGCCTCCTCCCTCTTCTTGGCCAGCTTGGACCCCGCCAGAGGCATGAAGTACAGGTCTGTCCGAGCGCACGAGTTGTAGCCCCGGTCCAGGTGCTTGTAGAACCTGAAAAAGGCCCATCTCTCAGGGGCTCGAGGTCCAGCCACCCGCAGCCGCGGGGCTGGCCCTGGCCCTGGCCCAGTCTGGGGGCAGTACCTGGCCGACTGGCTGGCATGGCTGGGAGTGTCCACCACAGTGGGCTCGGGGGATGGGCTCCGAGGCGGGGGAGGGGGACTCTCGGGTTCCTCAGCATCATCCAGCGCCTCTTCCTTGATCTGGACGGGGGGCAGCGGGCAGGCTGCCCCCCCAGGCACGCTGCCTCCAGAAGAAACAGCAGCAGAGCAGGGTGGCTGAGCTGAGGAGCCGGGGCCCGCGGGTGGGGTGGAGGTGGAGGGGCAGGTCGGGGGTGTGATGGGAGGAGGGCCCCCGGGGACAAAGGGGTGCTGAGCAAATGAGGGTTGGGGGGGCACCTGATGGAGACCTGTGGGGGGGTGGGAGGCAGCAGCAGGGGGCAGGCTCTGGCTCTGGGTCAGCACAGGGGGCTGGGCGGGGGAGGAGGGCAGAGGCTGGCTCTGAGGCATGAGCTGCAAGGGTGGGGGTGGGCTGACGGGGGGTGGTGTGTGGACAGAGAGCTCAAGGGCTTCAGTGCTGGTGGAGGCGGGAGGTTGGCGTTCATAGAGAAGGGTGAGGGCCCCGATAGGTGAGGGGGGTGCTTGTGGGCCTGGGGCGCTGGCAGCTGGGGGATGGGTGTGGTAGGCGGGGGCTTGATGTGTGGCATGGCCAAGGGTGCAGGCGGCAGGGGCTGCTCCCGTGGGGGCTGCTGAGACTGCAGCGCCGACTGAGAGGCCGGGGGCGGCAGGGAACTATGAGGGTGAGCTGCAGCCTGAGAGGCCTGGGGAGGGAGGCCAAAGGGCTGTGGCGGGCCTGGGTGCTGCATCAGGGGCCCAGCCTGCAGGCTGTGAGGACCGGGCGGGCCTTGACTGTGCAGCGGGGGCTGGGAGTGAGACGGGGCGGAGGGCTGGCCAGCTGGCCCTGTCAGAGGCTGCAGCGGGGGATGTGGGGAGGGCAGGCGCTGTGGGTGCAGGGCAGGTGCCTGCTGGATATGGGTGTGGGGAGCTGGAGCCTGCGGCTGGTTGGGGGGCTGGGAGGCTGAAGGGGAGCCCTGTGGAGGGACCACAGAGGCAGAGGGCGTGGGTCCTGGTGTGGGAAGCTGGGTGGCAGCTGGGGGAGCTGTGGGAGGAGCTGGGGTAGCCCCATTGGGAGCCTGCAAAGCCGGGGGCTGGGCCTGTAGCATCTGCTGCTGGGCTGAGGAGTCCGAATCACTCTCGTTGTCCTGGGGGCTGGGGATGCTGGGGGAGGTGCTGCGATTGTCCTGGTCGATGTCTTTGGGGTCACTGCTGCCCTCATCATTGACGCTGCGGCTGTCGGAACTCTCTCCCTCGCCTTCAGATGGTGAGTTGGGCCGGCTGATCTCCTAGGGCCAGACAAGGAGGGAAGGAAGCTCAGGGGAGCAGGGGCACGCAGCTCCGCTGCCAGTGGCGGGCAACGCCACCGGGTGTGAGGACAGCCAGCCCACCTCCTGGGGAAAGGTCCCTGCCACCCTCCAGAGGGGATCTGGTGTGGGGGCTCCTCAAGGGCCATTAGGCGCAGGCTCTAGTCACCTGGGTTTTCGTCTTCTTGGAGCTGGTCCTGTCGGCCTCCTCGGTGTCAGAGGCCACCTTCTCTCGCTGGCGCTTGGTGCTCTTCAGAGGGGACGAGGCCTCCTCTTTCACCTTCTGCAGTGGGGAAGCCCCAGGAGCATCACGCGGGGGAAGGCCCGCGGTTGCAGGGACACGACCGTTTCCTGGGCTGTGAGGCTGCATGTGAGACTCTACCTCCGGAAGTGAGTGGCAGCGAGGGCCAGTAGGTGCGATGGGGATGCTATGACTTTGGCCGACCCTGGCCTCAGGCCTTGAGGACCCTGAGGGCCAATGCTGGGAGCTGCGCTGCATCCCCAGGTCCTGGTTTGCAGCCCTGGGCTGGGCAGGCCCACGAAGGACCTGCAGCACCCTGTCCCAGGGAGCAACACCAAGTCCATCCCCCAGACCCCCAGCACCTCACCTTGGCGGACTTCTTCACTGTCTCAGCTTTGCTGTCATTGCTGGAGGTGCTGGCGGCGCTGGGGGAGTTCCGGCCGCTGGAGCGGATGTCTTCGGTGATGGGCGAGGCACGACCATCAGGGCTGGCTGGCTGCTTCTTTCGACCACTACGCAGTGTAGACATCTGCGACCCAAACCAGGGGCTGGTGAGACTGCACCCCAAGTTTAGCACACACGGAAGCCTCAAGAGCCGACCATCAGCCTCTTGGCAAACCCCAGCCCAGGCAAGCAACCGGCGGTCCCTCGCCTGACGGGGGCCCCCGGGGAGAGAGGAGGAAGGGGGGTTCACACGGAAGAGCGAGCAGAGCACTCATCTCACGGACAGCTCCAGTGGCACGTGTGTGGCACATGAATGGAGCAGGTGAGCAGCAGCAGGCAGAGGGCGCCCACCACCCAGCTCTCCAGGCCGAGGCGGCTGTAAAGCACCCACCTTTCCTAATGGAACTGCCCACTCTCCCAACCCTACCCCCCAAAGCAACAACGTGAGCTGATTTCATCTGACAGGAAGGCAAGGGAGCCGGAGAAGCGTGTCAAAGGACGCCAGCCGCCTCCAGGACCAAGCTCCTCCCATGTTCTGCAGGGCGTGGGGCTCAGGAGACAGTGGTTCACTCATATGCGGGCACATCTGCCACCCTCCAGTGGGCACTAGCCTGCTGACCGGGATGCCAGAGCCTTACAGGACGCCAGCGTCAGAGGAAGGTGCCTGCCCCACACCCACCTGCCTAACTGGGTCACCAGGAGGCCGAGCTGGAGGCCAAGCCCCGGCAGTATCCTCAGCCCCAACCTGGAAAATGCTGGTTCCAAAGGGTCAGCCCCCTGCCCCCCTGGGAGTCAGTCCTCTGGGGAGAGGGCTACGCAGTGGTGAGTGGAAAAGTGACCCTGAAGTTTGTAAAGCCCATTAAACATTTTAAGGGGGAAAAAGCCTGCGAGTGTCCAACAAGCAGAGCTGGGACCAGGGGACGGTCTGAGGGGCAGGGCGCGCCTGCGCCGAGCCGGGCGGGAAGGGAAGGCTCTTCCTGGCCCCTCGGGCCGAGTGGACGCCTTCAGGCAAACCCCAGGACGAGGACGAAGAGGAACCCCGGTGGCCTCCCAGTGCGCCCCCCACCCCCCCCCACAGGGACTCACCGAGCCCCGACTCCGCCGCGTCCTCATGCTATGTTTCCCGCTGAGCCCGTCATCCTCCTCTTTGACAGGCTTGAACATAAATGGCGGGGGGTCCACAGGCTTCTCGATGGGGGGCAGCTCGCCGTACTTCTTGAAGTGGATGCGGCAGTCTGTGCAGAGCAGGATGTTCTCCCGGCCCCCGTGGTGCCAGTCTTTGGAGGCTGGGAGGGAGGGGAGGCCGACCTTACAAACCCATGTCCTCGGGGCCCAACGGGTGGAAAAGCCCCTCCGTGGGCTCAGTGGCGCCGTGCCGGAACCGCCTGCCAGCATGGTGCGCGTGGGGCTGCGGGCTCCCAGAGTCCACAGGCCCTGTCCTGATCCGGAGCAGGTCTGCCCTACCAATGCCGCATCCCCGCTGACGGGGAGAGCAGCAAGTACAGGTTTCTGGCTTCCTTGTGCAGCCCTGAAGCACGGGGGCATCACTCCTTAGTGGCCAGCAGGTCCCCAATCCCACTTAGGCCCCTAAAGTGGTCGAACCTGGTCAGTTCCAGGGAATCTCTCTGGCCCCACCCCCATGCCCACCAAGCCCCTGGCTACCCACCCCTGTGCTCAGGGGCCACTTACTGGTGGTGAAGCAGTGGCGGCAGGCGTACCCCTTCAGTTCCTGCTCGCTGTCCTCACTGTCAAAGTCATCCTCGCTGGCTGAACTGAGGTCCACTGGGCACAGCAGGGACACAATGGGGGTGGGGGAGATACCATTATGCTGGGCCCAGAGGGACCCCCTTTTCAGGCCTGCACCTGGCTCTGAGCCACCAGTCAGGCGGGGGGAGGGGGGAGGAAGGAAGAGGGGGGCAGTGTTCACAAAGGACCCCTCTGAGCCCTTTAGGGTTACCAGGATGACGGGATCATGTGTAAAGGGCAGTGCAAGGGCCTGCCCTGCTAGATTTGCAGGGGCTGATGTTGCACCTGAATCGTGCCTGTGATGGCCAACAATGATGCACACGACAGGTGAATGTGAACATGGAAGAGCAGCTGTGATGCCTCCCGGCATGTCCACACCCCCAAGGAGCTGTGGGGAGAGGGTGTCTGCAGATACGCCATAAGGGGCCCCAGGTCGAGTGTCTGGGCCAAGACAGAGCCAGAGCCAGACAGAGCTGTCAGACCGCACAGCACCCTGAGCCCGAGAGGCAGGTCTTGGGAAAGCAGGAGCAGGAAGAACACACCACGTGATCTTCTCAGTCCAAGAGCACGCCAGCCACGAAGCGGGCGCCCGAGACACTCAGGCCGTGGCCGCGACTTGTATTTACAAACAACTAAGATGATGTTAAATTTAGCAGAAAAACTTAACGTAGCACTAACGTGTAAAACTGTCCCCAAGCCCGCCCAAGTCTGGCTAAGACTACACAGGAGCCCGGGTCACAAGAGCATGCGGCTGCAGGTGAAAGGCCCCCACTTACAGAATTCACTGGAGGGGGGTCTGGAGGGCGTGTTGACAGGTGTGGACGCAGTTCGGGTCTTAATCCTCCGGAACACGGCTTGCCTGCGGTGCCTGCGATGGGCCCGCGAGCTGGCTGCTTCCGGGGTTTTCTTCCAGTAGTAATAGAAGGTGATTAGCTCCCCCTGCAAGGAAAGAAGGGCTGGCTGAGGCCCGAGTCCAGAGGGGAGAGGCTTGCGCATGTTCCCGGGGGGAGCAGAGACCAGGCATGTGCTGCTGCCCTGGGGAGAAGGCAGAGAACAGCAGCCCCAGGAGATGAAGGAGAATTGGGCTCCCCAGCAGGACACACCTGTCCACCTGGCCCTGGCTGACCAACGGACCCTGTGCCCCCTCAACCCAGGGAAGCCTCGCATCGAGGGCATCGCTCATCTAGCCAGGACGTGCTGGGTGCCAACCCACGGCAGGGCAGCCCAACCCGGCTACATGCGGCCCCCTGCACGAGGGTGTCTTCACAGCAGTCCAGGGAAATCCCACCAGTGTGACTCGGGGGGAAAAAAAAAAAAAAAGCCCCAGAAACAGCCAAGCAGAACAAGGGAGGCAGTGGGGAAGCAGGACCGGCAGGTCAGGGGAAATAGGAAATCTGACCCGGGGGCACTGCCGTGCAGCCACCACCCAATCTCAGCGTGCAGACGGGACAGCTGGCACGAAGCCCGAGGGCTGGACAAGCAAAAGCTCAGAGGGACAGACACGGGGCTGCTGAAGTAGAGAGGAGTGCCACATGTCACAGGCCCAACCTTAAGGCAAAGGGGCTCCTCTTTTCATGGCCAGAGGACAGAGACTGAGACATCTCGTCAAGCCTGCAGCAAGGACACAAACCCCAGTGCAACAGTCCCCGCCTCGCGGGGTACAGCGGGCGAGCCGCAGCCGGCCCGGCCCGGCAGATGCAAACACTGAAGTCTGAAAACACCAAGATAAAGCACCTTGACCTGGGATTTAAAGACTGCTTGGAGCAGCGAGGGCCCAGACATGCGGTCGTGTGGCAGAGGGCCGCACCGGGGAAGGCACCTGGGAGAACCCCAGCCCATGACGGGAGCTGCTTGGTCAGATGCCCACCTGCCTCCCCAAAGGCTCACAAGGCTTTGCCTAGTGAATAGGGAGCAAGAGAGAGAAGCAAAGATTTCCTTCTCCAGTGACCTGGATTCAGCCAGGAAGGTGGGTGCTGGGGACAAGTGCCCCCAACAGCGCCTGACAGCTTACCCTCAGGGGAGGCCCATTAACACACCTCCACAGTGACCGCCCTTGAGCATCGATCAGCAAGCTGGCAGGAGCGAGAGAGGTGAGTGGGCAAACAGCTTCCGCCAGGCAGGCAGCACACGTGCGCGGAGCACTCAGGGCCCAGGCCTGACCCTAGCTGGCGCCTTTTCCAGGCCACAAAACCACAGCCACAGCGACCTGAGGGAGGGCCATGACGCAGGACGCGCTGGGCTTGGCCTCCACAGGCTGGAGCCTCGGGGGCTCTCTCAGTGCGGGCGTGACCCGTTCCTCCCACGTGCCACCTGACGACATCAGGGACCCGCAGTATCTACCAGAGGACGCAGGAACCAGGCCAGGGAGACCAGGAGGCAGCCACACGCCCCCAGGGCCTTCAGCCCAGGAGCGGTGAGTGGCCAGGAAGGGGGACCTCTGGAACTGCTCTGCGGTCTGACTGGGCTGCCGTACCCCGTGACACACAGGCTGCAACTGTCCCTGGGGGCGCCTGGAGCATTCTCCCAGGCCCCTAAGGTCACGGCCCCAGAACCTCCCGGGTCCTGCCTCTTCACTTGCCACCGCCCTGACTGGAAAGCACTTTGCCACACTGGTCCTGTGGGGTTGGCCAGGTGGAGGGAACAAACTCATCACTCCATGAGGGCAGTAAGAGTCCTGCGCAGACGCAATCCTGGCCTGGCTCTGGTTTCCTATGGGAAAATGCAGAACGGGGCCAAGGCAGGGCAGGGCGTCTTCAAGTATTCAAGTACATGTCAGGTTGCCGCAGAAAATCCCCTGACCCCAAGGCGGCTGCTCCCACCTCCTCCTCTGGTTGGACTCTTCAGGGGCCTGGGGTGAAAGGAAATGCAAACTATGGAAACCAAAATGGGGAGAAAGTCGGGTGAGAAGACACAAAGCCCAGCCACCCTCAGGGCCTGGGGACTGGGCCCACCTTCCACAGACCCGCACGACACGCCTGGCGGTCACAGGAGGCTCCCTGTTTCCCAAACATGCATGTGTGGAAAGGCCTCAAGGGGTTGTATGAGCTGGCACAGGAGTCCAGGCTCACGCACTCGGCACAGCTCTGCAGGACAGGCAGACACCAGGACAGTTTCCCAAGAAACCTACTACTGAGATAAATGTCAGCACTTAAGGAACGGCTTTGAAGCAAAAATAAGGACCAGAGCAGGGGGTCGGGGGTGGGGGTGAGGGTTGGAGGGTATCACGCAGCCACGCCAGAGTTCTGGCCACCTGCACAGGTCTGAAATCAGCTGGTGAGAAAATGAAAGGAGATAAAAACTGAAAGCCAGAGAGGGGGTAGATCTCACAGGTATGGCTGGTGAGGGTATAAAACAGCCAAGTCACGTTGTTTAGCATAATAAAAACTGCCAGTTTTACAAACATTTACCATCTGATCCAGCAATGAATTCCACTCCTAGGTATTTACCCAAAAGAAATAAAAACGGGCTCACACAAAGAAGTTTACAGAAATGTTCACAGAAGTTTCCTCTTAATAGGCAGAAACTGGAAACCACTCCAAGGCCCCGCCACCCACCCCTTCTCCGGGACACTACTCAGCAGTAAAAAGAAACACAGAAACACAGACGGAGCAGCATCACCGGCTAATTTCAAAACCATGGGACTGAAAGCAGCAGCCAGACACAAGCAGCAAATCGGGTGGGGGGCTCTGAGGGGAGAGGACTTTGTGGTGCTACTTCTATGGTGGTACATAACTGTGCCCTTCAAATGGGCACACTCTGACACATATGGCATGCACCAATTATACAGCAATCAAGTTAATTAAAAAGAAAATCCAGGCCAGGTTTTACGAGCTGCCTTTCGCCACAGTCAAGTCGTGCAGGGCTGCTGGCAGGGCTGGCGGCTGCTCCGGGCTGGAATAGAGTGGCTGGGATTACAACAGCATCCAGGGCCTGCATGGGTGGCTAGGTCTTGAGCACAAACAAAAGAACATGCCGGGATAGCCGTGGTTCTGCAAACAGGGACTGAAGCAGCTCGAGGCCTTGCTGGGCATGAAGTCAATTGAACTTTAATCAAACATGCATAGTGTGTGCTGCAGAGACCGGCTGCACATAAATTCAGGGAACAAAAGCTGCTGCAGAAATCAATAGCTTACTGAAACATTAACACAGGCAATCATTGATCAAAAGGCAGCCCCACAAAGGCAGCCTTGCAAATTAGCTCCTGCTTTTGCTTGCAAGCAAACACAGAGGTATAAATGTTGTCGACATGAATGGCCTGTAATGATCATTTTGTTCCCAGTGCTCTCACCTCGTCTCACAACAAAGCCTCACAGTCAACACACCTCACATGTCAGTTGCTGTAAGTGCCACAGTACAAGGACCTGGTTTAGGGCCTGGGCAAAAAAAAAAGGAGAAGAAAGGGGCGAAGTCATCTCCGCTCGCTGAGGCTCCTGCCAAGAAGTGCTCGAATCCACTGCTCTATATTTAGCCGCTCTCTCCAGCTCCTCTGCCTTTTCTGTGTGGTTTTTTTTTTTTTTTGGGGGGGGGGGGTCTGACGGGAGGAAGTGCTGCATTTCCCAGACACACCTTATGCAAAAAGCCTTGGGCCCAGAGCTGCTCCTAGACTCAGGTACCCCCCCTCCAGGGGCAACCCCCCCCGCCCCCCAAGCAAGGCTGGCAAGCAGCAGTAGCTGCCTCTCATTTTTCAAAGAAAAGCAAGGGCGGGGGTGGGGTCCAAGGAAGAGAAGGGAAGGAGAGGAGAGCAGCGGGGGCAGCTCTACTGGGGGGGGGGGGCGCACAGGGGGTAAGGAGGGCAAGGAGACGGGCAGCCCTGGCAACAGAGGGCAGCACAGTGCAGCGCGTTCACCCTGAGCCCCCACTAGGCTCAGCCACTTGGGGTGGTAGGGGAAGGGCCCCTCCGCCTCAGCTCCTCTTTACTTGGGTGCCTCCCCTCATCAGGCTTCCAGTCCATCAAGTCCACGCAGCATGAATGCCAAGACTGGCCCTCCAGGGCCCTCACTGCCGGGCAACCTGGGCTGAACCAACAGACCTGGGCAGCCCAGTCCTGCCAGCGCCCCCCTCACAGGCAGCTTTTCCGCTGTCAATGCCTTTCAGGGGAGTTCTGTTGCTTAGGCCTCGGCCTCATCCAGCTCCAGGTGTGGTGCGTGTGTGCGTTGGGAGGGGGGTGTTGGAGGTGGGAGTTGGCAGCCCCGCTTCAGGAGGCATCCTGACCAGGTCACTTTGCCTCCAAGCATCTGGTAGCTAAACCACCGCCACTGAATTCCCCTCAGGCACCACGATGCAAAGGGAGGAGAACCTGTAACCTCTCTCTTCACTGCCCAATGGAAAAATATTCTTTTCTTTTTAGTAAGATCTGCTACCAACAGTGTTCTCTATAGATGAGCTACTGTGCTCCCTGCAAGGGGCTCCCGGGGACTGAAAGTACAGGTGGGGAGGGATTCCAAAAGAAGGGCTCCCGCTGAGCAAGCCCCACTCCCCAGCTTCTCTCTCTGGCGCTGGCACAGCACTAACTCCTCAAGTGGAGGCTGAAGCAGAGAAAGGTAGGAAACCGTTCTGCCTACAGCAGAAGCTTCCAGGCACACCCGAGATGCACTCCAAGCTTCTGCGGCTGTAACAGATTCCCATCACCCACTCACAGTCATCCAGACACCCAGGGGAAGGGGAGAAGGTGGGGGATGAGGTCTGCACCCCAGCGGCAGGTCAGGGTGCCTGTAGCCTGCCGTCTCCTAGCAGGGTCTCTTCACAAACTAAGGGAGTCCTGTCTTTCAGGAACAACCCTCCACACCCCTCCCAGCTGAAGGTGTGACTGTGGTTCAGCTCAGAACAGGGCAGGGCGCAGCCCCTCCCACGATGGCTCTCTGATGGCATGGCAACCATCTGTCTTAGTTTTGTTAAGGAAGGTTCTGGAAAACTGGTGTCCTGCCTCCAAGTATGCCAGG